AAACAAAACCAACTAATGTCAGATCATACAGAATGTCGTGAGTTAAATAAAAATCAATCCATTACTTACAATCACACCCACCAGTAGTGCGGTAGCACCCTTGCAGCACACACAGCAGCGGACGCAGCTTGGTCGGCGACACACAGGTCAGCTCCTCTCTCTCTACTCTCTGTTACCCAGTCAATGCTCCTCTCCTCTCACTGTTTAGAGCTTAACCGGTCTCCTCTCTCGCTACTCTCTATTTTGCCCTTTTTTTTCTTTTCTTTTTTTCAAATGAAAGGTGTGGCTAAACAGAATAGTTTCACTACAAACAAGTAGACAAACAGAGGGCATCGAGCCCTGTGAGAATTACCAGAAACCAAGTCTGCAATGAGAAAAGAGGAGATAAAACTAGGAGGGTCATCAAGGAACACCAAATGCTCCGATTGGTTGACTCTACTTTTGGTGAGTGCATCAGCACATTGATTTGCTTCTCTGGGGATATATTGGATGCTGCACTTGCATCTCTTCAGCATGAAAACCTAAGGCTCGTAGTTTTTAGTAAAAGGTTGGGATTCCTTCGAATCCAAATTTGGACTAGAAGATGTTGTTCGGGTTTGTAAGACCTATCACTATTCTGAATGTTTATTTTATTAGGTCCTATGTGTATATCATCCATAAAAAAATTAAGTCGATTCAAGTTTGTCTCCAAAAAAATTAACAGTCAATATGTTTTTTAAAAATGGATTATCTAATTTTATTTATTTATTTATTGTATAAATGCAATAAAATGAATGAATTAAAAATATCACGACTTAATTTTTTTGTGGATAAAATACGTGAAGTATCCGACAAAATAAATTGTTTGAATTATTAAAATAGACCCGCGATGAATTTTACGATACCAGACAACACATTCTAATAAGATGATGGACGCAAGAGAAGACATTAGTAAATTAAGGTTATATTTGGCATGGATCAGCCATAATCCTCATAAATTGGAGGGAAAAGGTTGATCCTAATTCTTGAAAGATATATGTTTTGTTTTCTTTTCAAAAACTTTTTTAGATGAATTTTTGTTTATTTTTAATAATTTTTTTTTACAATTTAATTAATTTTTTTTTTATACTTTTTAGATGCCTTTAATTAAGATGAATTTAAACAATTGAACAAATTGGTTAAAATATTAAAAAAATGACTAAAAATAAACAAAATTTCAAATAAAAATCTGTGTATATTTTTGTTCGGATTTTTGTATGTTTTTAGTGATTGTTTTTTTCATATTTTAATTAATTTTTTTACTTTTTAAATGTATTTAATGTTGATATATCTAAAATGTTCAAGAAAAAATTAAATTAAATTATTAAAAAAATCAGTAAACAGAAACAAAAATTCGTCTAAATTGACTATAAGATGTTACTAATTTATTTCAAATCTTTCTCTCCCTCTTTGTTGCATTTCACTTAAGCAAGATGAATTAAAAAAATAAAATAAATTGGCTAAAAAAATTAAAAAAACACTAAAAATAAAAAAAATTCAAATAAAAATTTGTGTGAGTTTTTTTTTTGATTTTTGTTTATTTTTAGTGATTTTTTTTTCATATTTTAGTTAAACTTTTTTACTTTTTAAATATATTTAGAACATTGATATTCAAGACAATAAATTAGACCTAATTTTTAGGTCAAATGACACGACAATCAATTAGGACATTATTTAAGAGTTTTATTTAGTACTGCATAAAATTTAAGGATTTTATTAAATAATACTAAAATAAGTTTGAGAGTAAAAATAAAGGCAGTGGCTTTGGTCTAGTCCAAGATCGGACTGGACCGTGCTGTTGGGCCCGTGGGGGCCCACCACGGGTCCTGTTTTGATAATCTGAACCGTTCAATGTGTAGAACTCGTAGAGTACTATATGCTGTAAAAAATCACGTTGATCGGATATCGATAACTATGTGAACAAAACAGTTTTTTATCAACCGTTAATTGTTTCACCGTCCATTTTTTTTATACAAAATTGATTTGATCACATACCTATTAATATCCGATCAACGTAATTTTTTACAAGCATGTAGTACTCGACGAGTTCTAGACATTAACGGTTCGGATTATCAAAACGGGCCCAAAAAATGGGCCCCATGGGCCGAACTAGACGGATCCAATCTTGATCTCAACTTGAGACAAGCTGGACCCTTAAATTAATCCCAAACAATCTTTTCCCTGTGAGTTCACTTCATGAATGAATCTTGGCATTAGATTGTACACTTTGGACTTGTTTGATTAATAAGATTAACAATAAAAGGATGGGCGAATTATACTAACGGTTCTTATAGTTTGGAACTTATATCACTCTGGTCTATAACTTTTCAATTGTGATACATTTGATTCTGAATTTTAAATCTTATTCCAAATAAAGACAATTGAAGATACTATCGCTTAAAAATTGTCAATTTGATAAAATATAAATTAATTTGACAAAAATAAATGTCAAAAAAATATTTTGAATTTTTAAAAATTATTTTTACCTACTATAGATAAAATTATGTCAAATTAATAAATCTTTTAGATATTTATTTATTTATTTATTTTATCAAATTAATTTTTATTATATATTTGAATGAGGATCATATAACGAGTGATTATTTTTATTTTCATTAAATTAGTTTGTATTTTTTTGAAAGTCAAATATGACAACAACTTTGATATCATTATTAAATCAATCCATTAAACTAAAAAATCCAAAACTAAAAACATTTCATATATTAAATATATTGATTACATATTAAAATTTTAACCACCACCCATTACATGATTATCATTCAAACTATAAAGATCATTAGTGTAATTCGCTCTAAAAGAATTAATAATTTCATCAATTAGTGTAAAATTAATTATCTAATTAAATTATTACAATAATTATTTATTATGTATTCATTTTTTTTCCTTTCATATTTAAAATTATAATCCTCAACCCATCTCAATATTAAAAATCTGTCAATTTAGTTGTCAGATTAAATGTCCACTGTACATATAATTCAATTAATAAAATTTATAATCAAACATAAAATTGTAAGTTTATAAACTATTAATTTCAATCATATACTATAATCTTACTAATCATGGACATGTCCATGGGATTGTGAGATAATTTTCCGGACTATTTTTCTGAATTTGTAAACCTGTTTCTCTGGTTAACCTTTCATCCATGTTCATCTTAAAATCCGGTTTATCTCCCATTCTAGATTAACTAAAAATTGAAAAAAAAAGAAGAGACAAATATGAATAAACATAATGTTATAAAATTTGTTGAAATTTAATTATAATTTTGAAGATTATTTTTGTATAAATTATCCACGAGTAAATCAAATTTACTTATAATTACTATAGGATTTTGTCATATTCATTTTGTAAAATAAATTACTAAAACAAGATTAAAGCCTTATTTGGGAAGTAACTCTTTTAACTTAAAAGTCAAAAAATCACTAAAAAATTAAAAAGCCAACAATCTATACCAAAAAGTCAAAGATTTCTTTTTTTCTTTACTTTTTACACATTTTTTCATAAAAATTTAAAAAATATCCTAAACATACTAATTTTTTTACATCATATTTAATAAAAAACTTGAAAAATTATTAAAAAAGTCTATTCGAGAACTATAATCAATAAAAAGGACACATTTGTCTCCAATTAATTGGCATCACCAATCTCACCAGATTGGGTTGGGGCCCTACGGCTCACTTTTTCATCATATTTTAATTTTTTAATAAATGTATTTTCATGATGAATTTTAGGAAAAATAAATATTTTATTTTAAAAATTGAGTAAAAAATGAAAAGAAAAAAGAAAAAAAAAAAGGGAACTAAAAACCATTTTAAAGCGTTTTGTCAGTAAGAAAAAAATTAAAATTAAATCTCAGAAGAATAAAATTTATTTGAAAAATATGCAGATTGACCAGTAGCAAAATAGTAGAACCGTGTTTGTATCATGTGAAAAAAGAAATCAAAAAAATTCAAAATTAAAAACAAAAGGGACATTTTTGAATAAAGACAATTTTGAATCTTATTCAGAATAAGAGCAATTTTAAATCTGGTTTCAAATAAAAATAATTGATTTTTGAATCTTGTACTTGTCCTCCACAAATTTTTCTAGACCTAACTAAAAATATGACAAAGAAATTCAAATTTTTATGATGAAAAATTGAAAGGGAAAAAAAAAAAAAAAAAATTGTTTGTAGGCACCGATAGACGCAAACTGCTGCGAAATCAAAGCAACAAGCCTGCAAGGTGACTCCAATCTATAGTTGAATGTTAGAGAAGGTCCTCTTAAAAAGGCTGATTCCATTGCCATTTCACTCCTCCCCTTCTCATCATATACTCTCTATGCATACATAAATATACTTAGTAAGTGACACATCGTGTGTAATTTAAATAAATAAAAATTAAAAAAAATAATAAAATTATTATTATTATGTGTATTTAATTTCAATAGTATGAGTCATTTTGGATAGGTTTGGCATGTTTGAAAAAAATTAAACAGTTAAAAAATCACTATCCTATTTAAGTCATATAATCTTATTTAAATCACATCACCTCTCTAATACAACACTTCAAATTCAATTCAAACCCAACACATATTTCATAAAAAATCAAAAAATATACTTATTTACATCATTCCAAACAATCCCGGTCTTAAACCACTGTATTTACTTAAGAGATTTAAAAATAAAATAAAAATATAAAAATATTTTATTCCCATTTCACAATTCTTTTCTCTTCCCTTTCGTAAATCTCCCAACAAACACATATTAAACTATGACCATGAATTCAAGCCATACTCACCTCTTTCTATAGCTCTACTTTATAAATAAAAGCACTGCCGTGTGGTATGAGTGGTATGAGGAAGAGTAAAGTTTCACTTTCACATAATAGTAAAGTATAGATAGAAGACAGATAGATAGATATAGATATTTCTCATAAGCAGGATAAACACACACAGAGATTGAAGGAAAAAAAGAAAAGAAAATATGTGAGAAGCTCGGTAAGCAGATTTGCTGATCAAAATAAACAACAAGCGGCCAGTAAAACTTCTCTGATTGAATCTCTTGTATGTAGCTACAGCCATTTTGGCAATCAAGATCAAGGATATTCAACAAACCTTACTCTTGGTACATGTAGGCTTTTCTCAACTCAAATACAAGCTCAAACCAACAAAATCACAAATCCATATAAAAATCAACGGAGGTTTTGATTTTGAAAGTAGAAATGTAGATCGAGAGAGAAAAAGTTGTGCTTTGTTAAACACTGAGTCTCAGCCGTGTAAAACATGAAAGAGAATACTAATTTCAAACCCTAAGACCATCTCTAACAGTTCATCAAATCTGGTATCAAATTCAAAATTTGATGAAAAAATCACTTTTTTGAGCTCCAACGGTTTCATCAAATCGATATCAAATTCAGAATTCAGCAAATCTTTTACCAAAATGAGAACAAGCGAAGCATTTTACTAAATCACTGTTCCTAGCCGTTGGGAGAGACCAACCGGTCAACCAGCCGGTTGCCCGGCCGGTTGACCAACTGGTCGACCGCCTAAAGGTTCAAACAGTTCGAAGAAAAGGTTCAAACAGTAAAAAAAAAAAAAAAATTTTTTTTTGCCTAACCGGTCGACCACTAAAAGGTTCAAAAAGTTAAAAAAAAAAAAAAAAAAATTTTTTTCGCTTACCCGGTCGACCAACCGGTTGTCCCCGGCACAAATTTGATGAAAGTGCACTGTTGGAGCGAGTGGTATCAAATTTGGTAAAATGGGTCATTTTTGACTCAAATTTGGTGAAAAATCTGATTCACCGTTGGAGATGCTCTAACTATCGTAAGATGCTTGCCGTTTTGGCAACAACAACAAAATGTTAGGAAAAATCAATGATTCCTCACAAGTAAATCAATCAATGGGAATAAAAATTAATGCGGAAAAATTAAATCAAAAGCAACATAAGAATTTTTACGTGGTTCCCTCAATGTGAGGTACGTCCACGGGATCGAAATCCGATTCCACTATCAACCAAATAAGTTCCAAACGATTACAAACGAGACACGAATGGTCTCACAAAACCACCCTTAGGTGAATTTCAAATAATCACAAATAAACCAGAAGAAAGACCTCACCAAATAGATGAACCAAAATTTTCAGAACTAAAATTGTAAAAAATCTAAAATAACAACCCAAATCACCCTCTCCCAAGCACCCAAACAAAAATGCACCAAATCAATTGTTTATGCTCCACGAATCAATGGACCCAAAGCACTCCACCAAATTAATTGATTTCACGTTGCTATCTAGCCACCGCACACACAAAACAATATATATATATATATATATATATATATTTTGTGAATCTAGGATTTTATTTTATCAAATCTTAGTTGTTTTCAAATTAGATTGAGTTTTCTCAAATATAATATATAAAAATATACTATACTAAACCAAGTCAAATTAAAACTCTTTTAATAAATCAATTAGGTTCCACACTCCAATAAAGAGGTATACCCAACACAAAAAGCGGCGTTTTTACCAATCATCAAACACGTCAAACCAAATTAAAACGCTGGAGATCTCATTTGAGAAGACCCAAAAAAGCAACTCAGCCCATTTACCAAACTATCCTCTGGAACATTATAATTAATTAGTTATAAATTGTAAATTTAATTAAAAAAGAAGGATATTTTATTCATCTTAGAGTGATGTGACACTTTTAAAAAATATTAAATTAAAAATCAAAAAAACTAATTTTTTACTAACTTTTCAAAATATTTCAAAAAAAGTCAAAAAACTAGATAAAAAATCAAAAATTAATTTTTTACCAACTTCCCAATATATTGTTTGATAAAATAATCCCTGCCGCACATCTTGATAGCATACCCTGTTTGGTTTTTAATTTTTAAAAATAGTTTTTAATTTGTATTTGTATTTTTTTAATATTCTAATTTTATTTTATTTTTAATTTGTAGATTTACTTAATTTTAGTATGGGTGAATTACGCTGTCACTATAGTTTAATACTTGTGTCACTTTGATTCCTAACTTTTCAATTGTAACATATTTGACTCTTAATTTTGAATTTTTATTTCAAATAAAGACAATTAAAAATTCATTGTTCAATTTCAATAGCAAAATGGTCCATTTGATAAAATATAAATTAGTTTGATAAAAATAAATATCTAAAAAATTATTTTTTAATTTTAAAAAATTATTTATACTCACCAAATATAAAATTATATCAAATTGATAAATTTTTTACATATTTATTTATTTATTTTTAAAAATTTAATTTTTAATATATGTTTGTATGATGATCATATAATGGATGATTGTTTTCATTTTCATTAAATTAATTTCTATTTTTTCAAAAGTCAAATATGGTGACAACTTTTATATCATCATTAAACCAATCCATTAAATAACAAAAAATTCAAAACAAAAAACATTTCATATGTTCAATATATTGATTACACATTAAAAACCTAATAACCATCATTACGTGATAATCATCCAAAAATATCTATTAACAACAAATATAGCCATCTATTAAGGCCTCGTTTGGGAATAGGCTAATTTAGTAACTTTTTGACTATTTGGCTAAAATATAAGCTAAAAAAAACTAGTATGTTCGGGATGACTTTTTGACTTTTTACGAAAAGATATGCAAAAAGTAGAGAGAAAAGATAATCTTTGACTTTTTTATATGGGTTGTTGGCTTTTTGGCTAAATCAGCCTGTTGCCAAATGAGGCCTAAATATCGAAAAGTATCAAAAAAACAACAAACCGTTACATGATTATCATCCAAACATATAATAAAAATTAATTTGGTATAAATAAATAAATGTGTATAGATTTATCAATTTTACATAATTATGTTTGGTGGGTAGAAATAATTTTTAAAAATTCAAAAATATTTTTTTGACATTTATTTTGTTAAATTAGTTTATTTTTTTTAATCAAATTGACAATTTTGCCATTGAAATTGAGCAATGGTATCTTCAATTGTCCTTATTTGAAACAAGATTCAAAATTAAAAAAAATTCACTAAAAACAAAAAATATAGAAACTAAAAAACTCAATTTTCTAAAAATTGTACTTAATTTTTTGGAACCAAACATGGTGAGGTTTTGGTGTATTTCACAATATTATAAAATAGGATTCAATTTTCTATTAAATATATAGGGTAAATTACAATTACACCCCTTAAGATTTATTTAAAATACAGATTGCTTCTTGTAGTTTAAAAAATTACAAATATTTCCTTATCAAATTTTTTTATTTAATAGAATTAATTGAAAAAATAAATTTCTAACTGCTCTTTTATACAATGATAAAATTACCTGAATTATTAATTGAATTAAATTTCTAAAATTATTAAAAAATATAAATTGACTTGATAATTTGGTAATAAAGAGTTCATTTGTTATGAAATTAGAAAGTTCAAGGACAAGATGTAATTTTTATAACTATAAGGGACAATTCATATTTTAAATAAATTTTAAAAGGCGTATTTATAATTTACTCAAATATATATGAATGATGATAAGATTTTTTAAAATTGTGATTTTAAATTGAATCAAACTGTGTTTTACTAGTTTATATTGATTATTTAATTGATTTCAAATTTTATAAAATCAAAAATAATGATAGGATCTATAGTTTACTCCTAAACTGAACTAGTTGGAACCTTGCTCGTGGTTTGGTGTGTAATTTAACCAATATAAATCATACGCACCCCTAATTTATTGTACACAAAAAAAAAATGTACTAAAAAAAAAAAATGTTGCATGTAAAATTACATCGTGGGCTAGTGTTAACGTTAACGGCTAAAATGTCACAACACACCCTAATTTATTGTACACAAAAAAAAAAATATATATATATTACATGTAAAATTACGTCATGGGCTAATGTTAATGGCTAAAATGCCACAACATTTTTTTTTTTGATGGACAAACAATTTTTATATAAAAATTTCATAAAAAAACCATATGTTCTTTTATAATCCTTAAATTTTGGTTCAAAACATTCATTATTGTGACTCATACACCATTACATCATTTTAAGTATATTTTAGAGGGATTTTTTTAAGGTTCCTGATATTAAGATTTCATAACATAAAAGACATCAAATATTTTCATGATGTCTAAGGTCCCTTAACATCGATCCAGAGAAATTCTCTCCAGAGAAATTCTCTGGGTTCAAACCAGAGAAAATTGAAATTTCTCTGAGTACCAAAAAAATCCAGAGAAAATTTGTGTAGCTATCCAGGAAAATTCTCTGACTTTACAAATTTCTTTGGTTCTATTTATAAAGAATTTCTCTGATTTTGTGTAATATGTAAGCCAACAATACAATTTTCACTAACAAACCCACAAATTTCTCTGGTCCAAAACCAGAGAAATTCTCTCCAAACCAGACAGATCAGAGAAATTCTCTCTATTTGCAGCTGAGTTGTATTTTATGAACATACCTTAGTGATTGTACATTGATCCAAGATATTTATCTGACTTCACAAATTTCTCTGGCTCTATTCACAAACAATTTCTCTGACTTTGTGTAATATGTAAGCCAACAATACAATCTTTACTAACAAACCCCCAAATTTCTCTAGTCCAAAACCAGAGAAATTCTCTCTAAACTAGACAAATCAGAGAAATTCTCTGGATTGAAACCAAAGAAATTCTCTCTATTTGTAGCAGAGTTGTATTTTTATAAACAGACACTACAACAAATTAGTCTTTTAGAGACTAATATTTAAGGACTAATTAAATTTAGTCCCTAAAAATAATCTTTTAGAGACAAAACTAAACTTGTGATAATTTACTTATAAAACTACCAAAATGACTATTGATATTTCTTGTTACGCAGTGTAACTTTTTGAGACCAATAATTTTGGTTGTCAACACATATTATTGGCATTTTTTAGGGACCAAATAATGAAAAATTAAAAAACCTCACCTGATGCAAATACACGCTGAAAACCGTATCCAAGCTTCACGATGCGTAAAAACTTCTCTCTCTATATGTGAAGCTCCATCGCAAGCTTCATTGTAGGTCTTCGCTCTGTCCATCTCGAGCTCTATTGCAGATCAGTTTGAGATCTACAAGCTTCAGTAGATCTACCTTGTTCTTCACATTTTCTGTAGATTTGGTGCGTTCCTCTCTCTCTCTCTCTCTCTCTCTCTCTCTCTCTCTCTATATATATATATATATATATTGTAGATCCATGAAGAACACAATAAGTAGTTCACATTTTTGTTCGATTGGCCTGCACATTGTCATGGATGCAGCTTTTCTATAGGTTGATTCTTCACCTTCTTCTTCATTTTGTGCAGATTTTTGCTACTTTGAAGACATCGATTGGTTAATTCACTCTCTATCAAGGTATTTCTCGATCCTTCAAGTAGTATTGAGTTTTTAATACAGATTGTAGCCAAAAATTAGTTTTAATGTTGAATTAATAAAATTAATTTAACTCATTCTGTTTGATTTTTGTTTACTTCATCCTTTTGATGCGAATTTTAATTATATATATTTCTCGATCCTTTTGATGTGAATTTTAATTTATCTCAGGTTTGTTAAAAGAACTAGACCATATATGTTCCCTGTTCTGTGTTGGCTGGAACCTCTTCGGGGAGCGGTGAAGATCCTTGACAAGGATCTGATTACCCCAAATAAATAAATAAATAAAAGTAATGCCAAACTCAAATATAGCATGAAATATCATCAGAGCTTAAAAACTACTCAAGTTGTTTTTTTAGTCAGTGTGGAGAGAGCACAATCGTCTTGAAAATTACCAGTGACTTCACATTTTCAACTTCATTTTGAACTAGAAAAGATCTTTATTTTTGTGATTCTGACTAGGTACATATAATTGAATAGGAGCATTGTTGCAATTTCCTTAATTTTCAATTCCGTTAGCTGGCATTTGCATGGGAGAAAGCTAAAATAAACGAATGCACCACGAGATTGTGGTTAAAATTTTGTTTATTAATCCCAAGTCTTTTTGAGAGTGATTTGGTTGTGTTACAGGGTTAAAGACAGTAGTTCACTGCATTTTTTAAGGGAAAATTATTTAGAGCTCTTAGGGCAAGCCTATGGGCAAGCCTATGGGCATGTGGATTTTTATTGGTTTAAAATAAATAGTTGAACCCTGTCACTCATTTGAGCCAATCTCAAATGAGTTTTAATGGAGCCGATTAAGAGTTGATCTTGAATCATTTTGTTTTTAAGGATAACATCTCACCTTGCTTTACCTAATTATTTTTTGGTCAGTATACAATTATTTAAGAAGAGGTGTCAAGGAGGTACAACCTGTATACTAAAGATCTATACCATCTATACATCCAGATGCCTAAAAATTGGTTCAAATTTTTGTTGCCTTTGGTAGATTGATAAAAAATTGCCTATTAATGGATGGATCATATTTTAACCATGTCATTAGTATATATGATAGATTAGTTTCCAGTCTATGATTTGTATGTTGTCTTTAGCATTGTTGTTGGTATGGTTTCTCTTAGTTCTTGACGTACTAATTTTTGTTGTCAAAATTTGACTGCTAATGACCTTTTACATGGCTTTTTTTTTGTAAATAGCTAAGAGGTTGCCTAGAGCTCAGCCTGCTCAGAATCCTGCAGGGATGGTTCTTATGGACAGACCAACAGAAGGATCGCGATCTGCACCATGTTGTGCCTAATATTTGACTGTAATCTTCTTCTACCTGTCTTTTTCCTTGTTTTCCTTTTTTCATTATTATTATTTTTTATTATCCATCATGCCATAGTTGTCTGATTTTAAAATTAAAGCAACTTTTATTGATACATATCCCGAAGTACACTCCTAATGAGTATATATATTCTAGAAAAATAAATAAATGAACAAATAAAGGAGTGTTGTTGCGGAACATGTGCCTGCAAGTTTGGGTGCCTATTCTTTTCTGATTTGGTGCATAATCTCTTAATTTCTTTCTTCATTCAAAAAGTTAGTGTTATCTATGCCTGTTTGCATTAAGTGCATGGCTTTACGGGTAAATCATCATGAATCTGAAAGAAGCAACCTCATGTGCAAATATCTTGTTTTTTTTTTTGCGTTTTGTGTGGTGGTGGGAGGAGGGGAGGAGGTTGCTGTTGAGCATTTCAAGTTGGCAGTCAAGGATGGGTAGCGTAAGGTAAGATGCTAAACAGTGTGCTGTACATGACTATAGGTGTGTTAGGGTTGGATGAAGATAGTAGTAGTATGATTAAGCTCATCTCCTTTCGTTTACTTATATAAGGGTTGACCAGATAGTCGTAGGTACATTTGAGAATCAAAACACATCGAGACACTCAGAGGGGATGACTGGGAGAGAAACATAATAGTCCAACCAATGTTGTGACCTAAGTTGGCTTTTGCGCAAATGCATTTGTTTAGGCTATCAATTTTGTGTATTTTCTATTTTAGGAAAGTTTTCACTTATCAATTACAGATTTCCTGATTTATATGCTGCTGTTTGTTATGGTAAGTTTCTACTCCTTTCTGGTATCTAAATTTGAGCTGAACTCAAATTTGCTATCTTTGGCAATTGCATATTTTTCTTTATTAATTTCATGTTTTACAAGGAATTAAATTTGATTACATAACTTCCTAGTGGTGCAAGTCATCTTGTACAGTAGATAGACCTACCATGTTACACCTTCTTTGGTGCTTTTAGCAGATTGCCTCCCTATGAAAAGCAAAAACTACAATGTTGGATTAGATTTATAAACATAATTTTCTAGAAGCTTGAGGACATCACCTTCTTGGTTATGCCTAGAAATCTTTTAGTAGGTTAACAATTCAGTGCAAAATCAATTATCAAATTCCAATCTTAGAATTATAATTTATGATTTCAATCTATATGTTGAATGTCTTTGCTCCATATGTTTTTTTTTTTTGACCTTGTCTGTGCTCCATTTGTGAGTGCTTATATTAAAACTCTCTCTCTCTCTGACATACTGTGGTTACATTGTCAGGTTTGTGAAAGATCCAAGTGCAATTAAGGTTTGATTCCCTCACTTTTTTCAATATTGATTAGCTTCCTTTCCAACTCTAAATCCTTTTTCTGGGTTCCGAACATACATATTGCTTCATCAGGGCCCTGGGTTGCCATTTCCATTGTCTTATCGGATTGGAATTTAAAAGCTTGGCGAATTCTAACTTATACCTTTGGTTGTTTTTGTTAGAACAACTAAAATAAAATTTCAGAAAACTGGTTAAACACAGCTAGATTGAATAGTACATATACAACAAACATCATATAACCAAAGCTATAAAATAGTTAGCATGAAGTTTTAGAACAATTCTTCAACATTCAGTTTCATTTCTACATTTAAATCCTTTTTGTGGGTTCTGAACATCCATGTTTAATCAGTTTTTAATTTACGATTTCATTTCCCATTGTCTCTACCACAATTGGAATTTAAAAGCTTGGCCAATTCTAACTTACAGCTGAGGTTGCTTTCAATTTGTTCTTGCAGATGTTTCGCTTGGTATTCAATAAACCTGTTGCACCCACCTCAGAGCTCCTGAAGAAACTTAGGACCTATTCAGGTATATTGAGGCTAATATTTGTCTTTTTTCTTTTCATTATCTTTCTTTGAAAAACTTCTTTTCATATGAAAAAACTAGTTTCACCGATTATGTACCTTTTTTACTTTTAGTGACCTATATGAATGAGTATTGAGATGAAGCCTTGAAATCATTGTAGCCAAAATAGATGTATGATAATATTGAGATTTTACTAAGCGATTGACAAATCGTGATGAGTATTACGCAGTAGAGCTCTTCATGACTAGATAACTCTCTAATGTTTATCACATTTTTCTTCTCTAGTGTTAATGAAGATGAAGGAATGCCAGGCAGGAGCAGATTGGGCGGAAAGGGGAAATTTTGGTTTTAAATAATTGTCCCTTTCTACTTTAGGGAGCTTTGGTGTTTGTGATGCTGACAACGAGGAGTCCCTTGATGAAAAGTATACGAAGTTTCGATGTGATATTACTTTGCTTCCTCATGATAGCAACAATTATCGGTTGATTGAGAATTACTTAATATGTCAATTTTGTAAACTTTGAATTTGGAAACTTTTTAAAAGCGTTTTGAAAGCTTTGAGTTTGGAGATTTTGAATATCCTAAGAGCTATGTACTCATTATGATTTGGTAATAGAGTGGCTTTGATGTGTGGATGTCAAATTTTTTTTTTTTTTTTTAATGATTGGATGACATTTAATTTTTGTGTATTTTTAGCTATCCCAACTTTGATTTTTAGCGACGAAAATGTGTTGCAGAGAAAGTTATTTGTCTTTTAGCGACCAAATATCATTGTCGTTAAAAATGTCATTATTTTGTTTTTCGCGACCAAATTAGGACATTTTATGACGAAGTATTAGCGACCAAATGTTTAGTCTTGTAAAATCAAACATTTTGTGACAATATAAAATTGGTCACTAATTGTCATTTTCAGAGACATTTTCAAAAATTCGTCGCTAAAGACTTTTCTAGACGCACTTTTAGTGACTTTTTTAGTGACAAATTTAATTTTGTCACCAAAACTATTTAGTGACCAAAATAATTGGTTGCCAAAAGTCTTATATGTTGTAGTGAGACCTTGGTGATTGTACATTGATCTAGAAAATTTCTCTGGCTTCACAAATTTCTCTGGCTTTATTCACAAAGAATTTCTCTGACTTTGTGTAATATGTAAGCCAACAATACAATCTTTACTAACAAACCCACAAATTTCTCTGCTTACCATGAACATCAATCCAAGCAATATACATATTGTTACCCAAAAGACAACTTAAGAGGGTGGGTGAATTAGGTTTTTACAATTAAAATTAATAATACCTTAATAAAAATTATGACTAGCACAACAGATAAATATAATTAATGAAATAAAAATAATTAAAACACGTGTTCTAACAACTATGTCAGTTAATGATTTTAGCACAGTGAAAACGCGAAATATAATTGAGAGGGTGATTTATGATCCGGTGTTGGGCCGGGGTATCGACCGGGCAAGCTGAGGGCCCAGCAGTGCATTGGGCCGAGATGATCAACTGTTCACCCGGAGATGGGCTACCAGAACTTGGGCCGGGCAAGGTTTGGACGGTGTGCCGCCCCGGACCGTGCAGAAGTTGCTCGGTCGGGAAGTGACCGGTCAGACCAGGATGCTTGGTCCGAGGATGGTCGAAACCAGACAGACCGAGAGACCGGCGCTCGGAAAGGCGCGGTCAGCCGAGGTAGTTGATTGACCGGCGAGAAGGCCGATCAAAGTAAGCATCCGGGCTAGGCTCGGCCGGGATGCCGCTTAGCCCGGTCCACCGTTTGTTTATCCGGTTAGGCGCTTAAGGTATGAAGCATGGTACGACCGAGGTAGGGCAGCTCGGCTGCCGAGCACCAGCTGTGCTGGCAGGCAGTTGAGAGCAGGTGATGAATGGCATGGTTTACGCTGACAGATGGGATAGCAGAGCCACATGTCAGGAGATGACAGGGAGTGGATATGGGGCTCAGAAGGTATATAAGCATGTCTGCGCCCCCCATACGCAACACACGAACATCTCTGTAAGAAAATCCTTACACTCAAACACTCTCTCCCTTGAATCAAACGGTATGTATCTGAGTTTATATTTTAGTAGTTACTTATATTCATGGTGTTTTGATTTCTAGTATATATGGATCTTATAATCTTACATGTGGTATCAGAGCAAGTTTATACTAGAATCAAAATCATGGCAGATTATTTCAGTAAAATTATTTTATATAATGATAAGGAATAAATTAATATTTCTTTTATTGAATGATTTTTTGCATCTCAAAATTATGCTTTAGTAATTTCAAGCAAACTTTTTCAATGTAACGAGTACATATTGTTTGAGTATTGATAGTTTGCTTCCAATTGTATTATATAAAAATAAAATAAAATAAAATAAAAAAGTAATTTAGATCTGGTAGTTTTACGAAAATTGTGAAGTATGGACATGTGTATATTGAATCTGTATTGATATATATATATATATATATATTTCAAATCTTACCTAATCAAATATTTGCAAAACATATGAAACATATTCGTTTTTATGACTTTTACATAAACATTAAGATTGTTTAAGAGTTCTATATCATGTATATCACCTTGGTGTATTTTTTGTAAATTCATATGCAAATTTTGGTTGGCCGTGAGCTATTATTTTTGAGTAACTGTTTAGTAGTGATTCGTAATATGATATTATATATGCTTTGATGGGTTACAGATTGCATTATTGTTAATAAATAAATAAAGTTTTAAAGGTGGACAAATATTTATTTTGTAGTCTCAGTTGGAAGATTTTTGAATCAATATGGGTGATACTGCCGAAGTGATTAACTTATTGAGATTTAAAGTGATTTACCAATAAGGATTCTGGAAAGCTCTTCTAATATTATATCACTCAATTACCTACCCAAAGGGGGTTAATTGAGTGTATTAATTTTAGAGGTAGTGTGAGCCGCTAGTAAGGGAAATTTTATTATTTTTGAAAGAATTTATCTACCCAAAGGAGATAATTTCTTGATAAATCATTCTTGCTAGTTGACTTGTTTATAGGTGTTAGAATGTGTCTTATATATTTAGCCCAAAGGTATTTATATGATGATACATTTTGAAATATCTAACAAGATTGTTAAAGTTTAATTGCAGCCCATTGTTGTGAGATTATAATTATTGCCCATGTATAATTAATTAAGATTATATTAAAGTTTAAAGATGTTGATTGTATTCTATATATTCAACCCAAAGGTGTTTATATAGTGATACATTCTGGCACATCTGAGAATATTGCTAAAATTTATTCGCAGCATATTCTTGTGAGATTATACTAATTGCCTATGTATAATTGAAAGTTGGAGTTGTGAACATGCTTTCTATATATTCAGTTTAAGAGTGATACATTTTAAATATTTGAGAATATTAATTGTGATTATGAGATTATTATTGTCTATATATAATTGAATGATATTATATTGAATTGAAAGCAATGAAGGGAGATATTTTTATGAAAGTCAAATTTACTCCATTAAAGTTTTGATTATGAATCGGTTAAAAGATATTGAGTTAGCTTTAAGACTAACTAATTTTGACATTGACATACTCGAGAATGTGTCTTCTTAACCATTTATATTAAGACCTCAATATAGTGTGAAAGATTGAAATTATATTCAATGTTAACTATTTAAGAAAGTAGAGTTTTAAAATATTCACTAGGTGATTCTTATAAGAAAATCTAAATTATACTCTACAATACTTTATATAATACCTTCGACTTTTACAAACCGTTATTTCTCTTCAGTGTTTTATGTTTTCATTTTCAGAATATTCCGCAAATCTCTTTCACTACTACAAAAATAATTAAATATCACACTTTGACAAAAAAAAAGATCTCACTTTTATTGAAAGTGTGATAAAAAAAATTAGATTGATATTTTAATCACACTTAATTTGATTGAGTGTGATAATATTTATATTTTATGTCACTTTTCAATTAAATGTGATGTGTGTTATATAATATATATTTTTAATCACACCTTCTAATTAAAGTGTGATTATATTATACACTATTAGACTTTTTTAATCACCTTTTTAAACAAGTGTGATTATATATATATTTTGTAATCACCTTCTAATTAAAGTGTTTGAATTATTTATATATTTTTTTTAAATCACACTTTCCTAAAATTAAAGGTGTGATTAATATATTACTACTACTTTTTAATCACACTTTTAAATAGTGTGATTTTATATAGATATTTTAACCACACATTCTAATTAAAGTGTTGCATCGTATTTATAATATTTTTTTGAATTCAACCTTCTAATTAAAGTGTGTATAGCAATACAGCTAAGACTTTTAGTCACACTTTTAATAGGTGTGATGTATATAGGATATTTTTTTAACCACACATTCAATTAAAGTGGGTGATTATTTATAATATTTTTTTAAAAAAATCACACCTTCTAATTAAAAGTGTGATTATTATAACTAACTACTTTTTTATCAACACTTTTTAAATAGGTGTGATTATATAGATATTTTTTAAACACACAACATTCTAATTAAGCGTGTGATTATTTTATATTTTTTAATCACAGCCTTCTAATTTTAAAGTGTGAATTATATATACACTACTACTTTTTAAATTCACACTTTAAATAAGTGTGATTAATATATATATTTTTTAATCACACATTTAATTAAAAGTGTGATTATAATAAATACATTACTAACTTTTATCACCTCCCTAAATAGGTGGTGATTGGTAATAAATATATTCAAATTTTGATTTTTAATATAAACCATATAACCAATTCCCAAATCCGCGCCTCTATTCTACCATGAATGATAGAGAATGACTCACTACGAAAATGAGGCTAGAACACGGACTTTTTCACCAATTTTGCCATCTTTTTCCTAATCTCTCTGTCTCTGTCTTCTTCTCTCTCTCTCTCACCACCTCTCAACTCATCACTCTTCCTGTTCTGTCCTGTCTGTCTGTCTCTTCTCTCTCTTTCCTCTCTGTCTATCTCTCTCAATCTCTATC